ACTATTTGCAGACGATATGATAGTCTACATTAGTGACACGAAAAACTCTTCCAGGGAACTCCTACAGCTGATAGTAAACACCTTCAGCAAAGTGGCAGGATACAAAATTAACTCAAAAAAATCTGTAGCCCTACTATATACCAATGCACATTGGTGGAGAAAGAAATCAGAGAAACATCACCCTTTACAATTGCCACAAACAACATAAAATACCTTGGGGTAACACTAACCAAAAAACGTGAAATACCTGTACCATAAGAATTTTGAATCTCTAAAGAAAGAAATTAAAGAAGATACCAAGGAACTTCTGGAGGCATCACCATCCCTAACTTTAAGCTCTATTACAGAGCTATAATCCTGAAAACAGCTTGGTATTGGCACAAAAATAGACAGGTAGACCAATGGAATAGAGTTGAAAACCTTGTTATTAATCTACACACCTATGAACACCTGATTTTTGATTAACAATCCAAATTTATACAATGGAACAAAGAGAACACATTCAACAAATGGTGCTGGCATAACTGGTTGCAGACATGTAGAAGACTGCAGTTAGACCCAAGCCTATCGCCTTGCACAAAACTGAAGTCAAAATGGATCAAAGACCTCAACATAAATCCAGCTACATTGAACCTATTAGAAAACAAAGTGGGAAATACCCTTCAATTAATTGATACAGGAGATAGGTTCCTGAATATTACACCAGTAGCACAGACACTGAGATCCTCAATTAATAAATGGGACCTCCTGAAACTGAGAAGCTCTTCTGTAAGGCAAAGGACACAGTCAGCAAAATAAAATGACAGCCCACAGACTGGGAAAAGATATTCACCAACCCCACATCTGATAGAGTGCTGATCTCCAAAATATACAAAGAACTCAAGAAGCTAGTCTCCAAAACCAAACAATCCAATTAAAAAGTGGGGTACAGAACTAAATAGACAATTCTCAATAGAGGAATCTAAAATGGCTGAAAGACACATAAGAAAGTGTTCAACATCCTTAGCCATCAGAGAAATGCAAATCAAAACAATTCTGAGATACCATCTACTACTGTCAGATTGGCCAAAATCAAAAACACCAATTACAATTAATGCTGGAGAGGATGTGGAGAAAGGGGAACACTTCTCCACTGCTAGTGGGAGTGCCAACTTGTACAGCCACTTTGGGAATCAGTATGGCGACGCCTCAAGAAAATGGGAATCAGTGTACCACAAGATCCAGCAATTCCACTCTTAGGCATATACCCAAAAAAAGCACATTCCTACAACAAGGACTTTTGTTCAACCATGTTCATAGCAGCACTATTTGTAATAGCCAGAAACTGGAAGCAGCCTAGATGCTCCTCAACCAAAGAACAGATAGAGAAAATGTGGTATACTTACACAATGGAGTAATACTCAGTGGGGGGAAAAAACAATGGAATCTTGAAATTTGCAGGAAAATGGATGGAACTAGAAGAAACCATTCTGAGCAAGGTAACTCAATCGCAAAAAGACAAACATGGTATGTATTCACTCATATGTGGATTTTAGATACAGAGTAAAGGATTACCAGCCTACAATCCACACTGACAAAGAAGCTAATAAACAAGGAGGACCCTAAGAGAGACATACATGATCCCCTGGAGAAGGGAAAAGGGTCAAGATCTGCTGAGCAAAGTGGGGGCATGGGAAGAGGGGGGAGGAAGGTAGGAGAATGAGAAGGGGAGAAGAGGAAGGATGCAGAGGACATCAGGGAGCAGAAAGGTTGAGTCAGGGGAAGAATAGATGACAACAAGAATGGAAATATCATAATAGAGGGAGACATTTTGGTTTACAGAGAAATCAGGCACTACGGAAATGTCTGAAGATCTCCAAAGATGACACCAGGTAACAATCTAAACAACAGAGGAGAGGCTACCTTAAATGCTCTCCCCTGATAATGAGATTGATGACTAACTTATATGCCATCCTATAGCCTTAATCCAGCAGCTGGTGGAATTAGAAGCAGACACCCACAACTAATCACCGAACTGATCTGAAACCCAGATTCAGAGAAGGACGAGTGAAAAACACAGGGGTCCAGACCAGGCTGGTGAAGACCACAGAAACAGCTGAACATCAGGGAACTCTTGCTCCCCAGACTGATAGCTGGAATACCAGCATGGGACTGACCCAGACCCCAGGAACATGGGTTTCTGTGAGGAAACCTTGGAAATCTACAGGACCTCCTGTAGAAGTTCAGTACTTATCCCTAGCATAGGTGTGGACTTTGGGATCCCATTCCATATAGAGGAATACTCCCTGAGCCAAGACACATGGGGGGTGGGCCTAGGCCCTATCCCAAAGGATACAATAGACACTGATGACACCCTATGGAAGGCCTCAGCATCCAGGGGGAGCAGAAAGGATATGTGATAGATAGGCGTTTAGTTGGGGGGGGGGCGGTGGTAGGGGAGGATGGGTGGGAGAAGGGAACTGGGATTGTCTTGTAAATCAATCCTGTTTCTAATTCAAATAAAAAAGTTGAAAAAAATAAATAAATTGCCTAATTATATGTATTAAACTATGGTAAGAAAATTAGACTAATTTATATGAAGTCTCAAAAATATTTTTCAGTCATTAGTGTTTTTCTTTTCAGGGATAGATCCATTTGCTAAAGGTGCATTTCCAGTGACTTATTTTCTGAAGTAGGTATACATCTTAATACCATGGTCAGCTATGAATTATTATATTGGTGAATTTAGCACCTCTAAGAGCAAATCATTGGTAAATGACTGGACCCATCAGCTGGAGCATAAGCCTCCAACATATGAGGTTTTGGAGAGATACCACTTATCCAAACTGTAATATTCTCCCTCTGGCTCCTAAAGGCTCTTATGCTTGTCATAATGCAAAATGCATTTTGTGTACATTCAAGAGTTCCAACAATTTTTTGTTGGATAGTTCAAGTCTGAGTTGCCAGCAAATTCTTAGCTATGAGCCGAGCATCATGTAAGGAATTCTGGGAAACAACATCTTTGGCAGTCTTGTGTCAGAAGTGTATCTAGTTGTTTTCACTTCTCCAGTCTTTTTAATATGAATTTACCCTTTAATAACCGTAACCTATTTACTGGTGTGTTGTCTTTCTGATACCTGAAATGCCCTCAAGAAATCTTTCTGATTCTCCTAGTGGAAAATACCTGATACTGTTGTTGGTTTTGGGGTTGGATTTGGTTTATTTTTTAGATGGTCTCACTATGTAACCTTGGGTCACTATATAGTAAAGCAGGTTGGCCTTTAACTCATAGAAATCTGCCTGCCTCTGCTTCCTGAGTGCTGGGATTAGAGATGTGTACCCAAGTACCCTGCTCCTTGGCTTCTTTTGAAGTGGTGTTTATCTCTGCAGATACCGTATCTTCTTAACCTCAGCTTTATACAGGCATAACTGGCCAAGGTACAAAATTTTAAAAATTGTCCAATCATATTTTGCTCCTAGTTTTTAGTAAACACTGGCTAAAACCAACTGGCAATGGTGATGCACAGCTTGGCTGTCAGGCTGCCTAGAAATCTCTTCTTCCACCAGTTGATTTTAAACTTGGCTTCATATAGTCTTAGACAGTGAACAAAATGAGAACCTCTGCAAGAAAATACATGAATGGCCTCTGGTCTAACCCACAATGGAGTCCTTGTTCCTATTTGAAATTTCATGAACACTGCTTATACTCTCCACATTCTAGTCTTCTGAGCTTCCAGAAAACAGTTATCTTAAAGATTCTATAAGCTGTCTTTTCAAACATTTCCAAATTCTTCACACAAACTGATTCCCAGGGCCTAAGAACAGCATGGTTAGATTTCCAACACAGCAATTACTCTGCTTCTTGGTACTGATATTCTGTTGGTTAGTTTTCCCTGCCCCTGGGAAAAGAACATAGATTTATTTTGGAACATGATTTCAAAGGTTGTGATCCTTAAATACTAACCCTATCTTTTTATGCCTGAAGTGAGGCAGAAAACCACAGTGCCTGAATGTGTTACAGAGAACTCTTACTTCATGGCAGCCACAGAGCAGAGAAACAATGATGAGGCCAAGGACAGATGTGCCTCCAGTGACCTACTTTCTTCAACTAGACTCAGCTACGAATCAAGAGTGTATCCGTCCATGAATGACATTAGTGCCATCATGATCCACTTACATCTAGTGATGGGATCCATCAGCTGGTGGTCAGTTCTTCAGCATATAAGTCCATGTGTACACGAGCAGGGAGGAGGGAAAATGACTACATATCCAAACCATAACACTGTGATAACTGTAGTTTTATAATGGAATTGTAAAAATCTAGTAGTTGTGACTTTTAAAAAACCACCTACTGGGGCAACAACTTCATTGTTCCAATTCAGTGGTTCTATTTGCAAATTTACAGTCTTAAAAGTTTTACAGGAGAGACCATGAATGACAGAATTCTGATCTGCTTAGGAAACTTTTATAGAGTTTTTAATAAATATGATTATATTGACATACTGAACAACACATTTTTTCAAAGATTAGACAGTTAAGTCTTTGGTTAATGATCACAAGATAAATATAAAAAATTCTTTTCTAGAATCCAAAGGTCAAACCACTGCCCCCTGGTAGTGGTTTATATAATGACCAAGTACTCATTCCTGATGAGATACATAAGTTACAAGAAATTTTTTATCAAAATCTTATGGGAAAGGCTTAAATTAAAATAGATATCCAAATTCTATATCAAATAATTACTTTATTATAATTTTAAAAGTTGTTCTAAAAGCCTAGTAGAGATTCAACCACATACTTAGAATGCATAGTTTAGGCTTGGTGTGTAGCTTACTGCTCAGAACGCTTGCTTTGCATCTGTCAGGTCCCAAGTTCAAACCATGTGTCACAAAAATCATAATAGTCATAGCTACACTAATAAAAGAAATGTATTCCTATTGTACATTATACTTAAATTTTACACATTATTTACAAAACAATCTGGTAAGAGCAGCATTATTCATCATAATCAAAACATGGAAGACATTACATGTCCTTCATGGGTGAGTGGCTAAAAATTTAAGGCATATGAACTGACTTTAGATTCACACAACATTTTTATTTAAAGTTTACTATCTAGATAATTAATTTTATGAAGTCATCAAACTTCTACAAGGAGTACTATTTTGCTACTAATATAATTGTAAGTATTGGCATGAATATAGGTGTATTTATTAATGAAAATGCTCTAGTACCTAAAATATTCTGAAAACAAAGAAAAAATTTCTTTTCATTGTAACAAGAAATAAGAGAATAACTTACCAAAATTTCACTTACTAGGTTTTTCTTTAACTGTTCAATTTTCTCTGCTTGCTTTCTTGCTGTAGCTTTTAACTTACAATTTTCAAGTCCAAGTCTATTATAATGTACATTTTAAAATAGTTACTCTCAAACGCCAAATTTAAAAACATCTCATAATTTCCCAACAAATATCTTGAATAATAATTATTTAAATTTTTAAAAATTAAAAAGAACCTGGAGGCAGAGGCAGTCAAATCTCTATGAGTTTGAGGCCAGCCTGGTCTACATTCCTGGACAGCCAGGACTGTTACACAGAGAAACCCTATCTCAAAAAACCAAAACCAAAACCAAAACCAAAACAAAACAAAAAAGTAAAATTAATATATCATTTTCTAGCTATTTTGTAGATAATATGCAATATTTAGGCAAAATGTACAAAAATTATTGTGGTGCTGAACTGCCCCCCAAGTGCGTTTTAAGTAAATTGAGAATAAACCTCATGACTAATCATGACTGGTATAAATCTCAAAACACACTACTTATTTGCTCTGTAAATACTCAAGCCATTTTGCATGCTGCTGTATACTTCTGTATGTAGTCTTGCATCTTCTTAATGCATTCTGCAGGCTCTTGTTGGTGTTGGTCCAGTGCTTCTTGAAACTAAAATAAAGGAAAATGTCCTCTACTAATCATCAGGTGTAAATATGCCCTTTCTGGGATTTGTGCTAAAATTTCAATGGACACAGTAGTTCTTCACCTGAAGACTGTGTATTGCTACAGTTGTTACAACTGAGAAATTATCCAAAGTTTGACAAACAGATCCAAAAGAATTTCTCACAACAAAATGCAAGGATCTTATGGTTCACAGAGCCTAAATGATGTTAGGAGTCCTTTAAAACACTTGTTGAACCTGTACGAGGACTGAGAAGAAATATCATTTTTTATTTATATATTGTCATATATATGTCACTATAGCAGAGTACCTTACAGAAATAATGAGGATTCATTCTGGCTCACTCAGTGTTTGAGGAATACATTCCATCATGTCTGACAAATACTGTTTTTGTTGCAGGTGCTTTTTACCTTAGCTCTTACTCTTTTTCAGTCTCCCTTTCTGCTGTGAATTCTGAACCTTTGAGGAGGGAGTATGATATAGATGCCCTATTTATAGCTGAGCACCTATAATCCCTTACACTCTGCATTTGACTGGCTGTGGGTCTCTGGATTGATTGTCATCATCTGCTGCAAAAAGAAACTCTATTTACAACATTGTAAGGCTTCTTTAGCCCTGACCAACACATTCTGCCATATTCTTCAAGCAAACAAGTTCAAGGATCAGGTTTATTACAGCCATAGCCCCACTTTTGGGTTCCATTTTCCAGTGTTAGTTTCTTTCCTCCTTGCAATGATATAAAACCTGCCAAGAAGTGACTCAAGAGAAGAGAATTTTATTTGCTCTCAGTTTTATGGTGGAGGAGGCATGGCAGCTGGGCTCAGTGCATGGTGGCAAGGACTTGCAGCACAGCTTGCTATGTTTCTACAACTCAGGAAGCAGAGACTGGAAATGAAGCAGGGCTAGCCTATATGTCATAAGACCTACCTCCCTGTAATCCACATCCTTCATTGAGGCCTCACTTCCTCAAGGTCACTTACCACAACAAACCAAGTATTTAAACACAAGAGCCTGTGGGAGACATTTTTGTATTCAAGCCACAATAACAATGAAAACAACAAAACTGATAAAGTAGAGGAAAGCAATACATTCCCTGTGGTGAAAATTTAAATTGTTGTATTCCAAAGACTACCTCAAGTGTGATCTGAAATGTCCATACGTACATAAATGACTGTAGTGGTTCCAATGATGGTAGTAATTTAAATGATGCATTCAGCATCCATACGGAAGTCTAATTCTGAGTCTAAAGCCAAGATTCAACAATTATTAGCTATGTGATCCCAAGTAACTTATCTTTCCATATCTGTTTCTGCTCTGTAAAATGAAGACAATAATAGTACACACTTTGCTGGGCAATTGGGAAGGTTAAATTGTAGGGTATACATGAAGAGCTTAACTAGATTGATAGTATAAATTATACCATCATTGGTATTTTGATGTTCTAGGTAAGTGCCATGCCGGGGAAAGAATTAATCTATGTGACATGGACTGGATCATTCTTTCTATCTAGAGAGTGCAACAAATGTGATGTTAGGCCCGGATGCATTTTTAATACCCCATGAAGTCACTAACATCACTGACCAATAGTGCCTTTGTCCACTTATCATTATTTACAATTCATTTGTTTTCAGGACTCCTTGGTGGGCAATCATGATGAAACACAATGCAAATGCTTCCTCTTGGGTTAAGTAGTATGCAAGTGGCAGGATCATCAGAGGCAGGCTAGAGCCAATGGCCTAAAAATATTGGACTGAAATCAATTCATTCCCAGTTACTGTCCATGCTGGGATGCTTTAGCATGTACTCTGATGAATACTGAAGATATGGAATGATGGAATGATGGCATATCAGAAAAGCTGTGTCCAGAACATTTTAGTTGGTAAATTACTATACAGCTATAAATCCCAGCTCCAGCTGCATAAAGAACAATGATGGCAACTCTTATTCTTTATCCACAGTGAGAAAAATGCAAACAATTCTTCTATGTTGAAGTGTTATTAATTTTATATTTAATCCCACAACGTATTTAAAATGAGAGCCTTATTATGCCAGTGTCTTAAATAAATTATTGCTATGGTATGAAGAATGTCATTTTTTCTTTATCTTTTATTTATTAGCATATTTTCTCTATGCATATTGGTGCGTTTCAAAAGTACATTTTCATCTGTATATACTATATGTCTTGACAATATTTAAGCCCAGGCAACACCATTCTTTTCTGACTTTCTGTTTCTCTGTGGGTTAGGCTAACTCCTTCATTTCCCCCAAATAGTCTTCCCACCACTTTCATGGCATTCATATGCACCACATGAATATATATAATTTTGTTGTTTTTATGTTATAATAAAATTCCAGAGTGTAACATGCCATTTCCCTTTATCCACTGGACATCTAAGTTGGCTCCTTAAGTTGACTGCTTAAGGATGCCACAATAAATATGGCTGTGCAGACATCTGCATAGTCTGCTGATTTAGATTGGAAGTGTTAATCTTATCCTAACAACTGGTAAGTGTGCATGTTTACAATTTATTTAACAATGAGACATTTAGCCTTGTGTGGTGGCTTATGCCTGGAATCCAAGCATTTGGGGAGGATGGGGCAGGAGAATCACCACAAGTTCCAGGCCTACTCAGCCTATATACTGAGTTTCAGATCTATCTGGGCTGCAACGTGAGACCTTATGCTCTCAAGCAAGCAAAAAAAAAAAAAAAAAAAAAAAAAAAAAAAAAAAAAAAAAGAATAGCTGGTCAGCAAGAGCAAAAGAAGTGAAATGGTAAAACCAGTCTAGGAAATTCTGAGAATAAAATCCAGCAGTAAGCAGATGTATATATTATACTTCATAAGTGAGAATTCATGGCATCATTTTCAGTAACAACCAGTGTGCTAGTTTGAGTGAGAATGGCTCATATGCCTGGTCCCCAGTTGGCAGAACTGTTTGGGAAGGTTAGGCAAAACACTACTCTTAGTTAGTCTTCTCTCCCTCTCACTCCTCCCCCCTCTCTCTGCCTTCTTCTTGTGAACAGCAATGTAAGCTCTCAGCTACTACTTCAGCGCCATGTCTGCAGCTATGCTCCCCAACAGGATGGTCATGGACTCGGCCTCTGAAGTTGTAAGCCCCAATAAAGTCTTCCTTCTGTAAGTTGCCTCAGTCATAGTGTCTCTTCCCAGAAAAAGAGAAGTAACAAAGACAGTCAGCAAGTGGAGCCTTGACATCTATCAGCTGGTGAGTGGATAAGTGGTACAGATACATAGTAAACAGAAGGGAAAAAGGGCTGACACTTGAATTAACACAAGTTACATTATTTTAAGAGAAATGAGCCACATAAAGGACTATACCTGGCACTCTATTTTCTGAGAAATGTGAAATTAAAAAGACAAGGAACAGATTGGTGGGTTTCTAGAACAGGAGAAGAGGGAGGGACTAGTTACTAGGGGTTTCCTAGAGAAAAGTGTATGTTTTTTTTTTTCAAAGTAATGAAAATATTTTAAAATTGCCTGTGGTGCTGGAAGTAGTTATGAAACTCTATGTGTATATTAAGAAACAGTGAATTCTGTATGTTAAATGTATAAACTATTTAGTGTGTTTGTTATATCTAAAGTTGCTTTTTAACATTCCAATGACATATCTATATAATTTTCTCATTGATTTACTTTGAATATAAGTAGTATACTTGTTTCTACTATTTCTGTGCTTTAAAATATGCCTAAAATGAAAAAGAAATGCCTCATTCTTCAAATATTTTAAATACTTTTTGAGAAAGGTATAATGGCCTTTTGTTTGTTTGGTTTGGTTTTTCAAGACAGGGTTTCTGTATAGTTTTTGGAGCTTGTCCTGGAACTCACTCTGTAGACTAGGCTATCTTTGAACTCACAGAGATACCTGCCTCTGCCTCCTAAGTGCTGGGATATAATAGCCTTTCTATAGAGTCATCTTGAAATATTTATATGAAATAAATATGTCCAGTTCTGAGGTTAGGGATATGCTTCACTGTGAGAGAAACTGTACAGCAAACACCTTGACTCCAACTGCCACATTACAGAAATCACAGAATAGAAACAAAAGCCTTTGTTATGGGTGAAACAGCGGTAACATGGTTCTCTATCTACATTACAATGTGTCATTGCAGCCAAAAGCTCTTTGTCCTAAAATAAAGAGTTGGAGAGAACTATCTCTCTTCTGGAAAAGAAGGAAGAAACATCTGAACTATGATCTCTGCTGGCTGTGCTTTACCTCTTTACCAAATGTTGGAACAAATAAGAAAATTTCTCCATTGACACATCAACAGGGAGAAGTCACAGTCCCAAAGCAGATGATACATTGTTACCAGCAAGGCTTTTGTGACCATATAAAAATTAATTCTTATGGGAAATACTAAAACCCTTTCTTCGGATGAGGCCATTGTGAAAGACATTACTCCATGCTGTCTAAAATTGGACTTCAATGAATATTTGGATGAAGCCACTGTGAATGTCATTACTGTGTTTTAGACAACTGGACTTGAATTAACATTGCTTTATTCAATTTGCTTTAAAAAAAAAAGGCATTCCCACATCAAAGTATGTATAGTAAGTGTATCCACATAGGATTTTGAAAAGTGTTCTATACTCTTCATGAGCCCTCTAGTTGTTTTTAAAAATCATGTACACACAAATAAATACACAGAGACTTGAAACTGACTAAAGAAAATACCTGAGAGCTAATTTTCTCTTGTGCCATTTTTAGTTCCTTTTGTTTGTGAAGCTGATTTGCCAGAATCTCATCCTGTAAGATTCTGACATTCTGTTCTTGCAAAAGCTGCCTCTCAATGCCATTTCGTTCCTCTGTAGCCTAGACACATTTAGAGAAGGTTTTATTTTTATACCACTTGGGAAGAGAAGGGGGAAGTCTAAAACCATATTAAGAGACAAACTTCAAAAAAATGTTCAAAGAGTAGATAAAACCCACAAGAGCCTGCCTCACACATGAAATACACATTTAATTGCATGATAGCTTTTTTGTTGTTGTTGTTTTTTCGAGACAGCGTTTGTATGTGTAGCTTCGAGCCTATCCTGGCACTCACTCTGGAGACCAGGCTAGCCTCGAACTCACAGAGATCTGCCTGCCTCTGCCTCCTGAGTGCTGGGATTAAAGGCGTGCACCAACGCCAGGTTGATAGCTTTTTCAACAGTAAAAACAAAAACTTTGTGCTAGAGCTCAGTTGGTAGAGTGCTTTCATGAGGCCCTGGGTTCCATCCAGAATGCATTGTAAAGTTGGAAATTATGGCACATGCTGGTGTTACAAGAACTCAGCGGGGAGAGGCAGAGGGATTAGGAGTTCAAGGTCATTTTAGGCTACATGGTGAATTCAAGAATGCCAGTCTCTAAATAAATAAATAAATAAATGCATGAATAAATAAATAAATAAATAACAACAAAAAAAGAATGCCAGTCTCGATGGGCAGTGGATTAAAGGCACACACCTTTAATCCCAGCTCTCAGGAGGCAGAGGAGAGGCAGGCGGATCTCTATGAGTTCGAGACCAGCCTGGTCTACAAGAGATAGTTCCAGGACAGCTTCCAAGCCACAGAGAAACCCTGCCTTGAAAACCTCCCCAAAGCCCATTCCCTATGGAGGGATACTGTTGCAGCCCAGATACAGCAAGGAGGGCCTGGGCCCTCCCCCAAACTATATGACAGACTTTGAAGGTCCCTGGTGGAGGGCCCCACGGTCCCTGGGGAAGAGTTGGGGGATGGGTTGGGGGGTTTGGTGGGGAACATGGGAATGGGGGGATAGATATATAAATGAGTGATAATTTAAAAATTTAAATTAAAAAAGAAAAGCTCCCCCAAAAATAAAAAGAATGTCAGGCTCAAGTAAGATACTTCAAGATGATATTGAAGCAAGAAAGGTGTAAACTTAGCTCTGCATTAACCCAACAGAGATCCTCAGGGTGTGAGTACTTCATAAAATAGCCATTTAATGTCCTAGATGAGTGACATTATTTTGTTAGCCTTACTACACCTTCTACTTGGACTTTGTATAACCAATAAAGGGACAGGGAGGACTTAGAGGCCCTATAGAATATCCAATCCAGAGCCTATTTAATACACACCCAGCCTTAGGGCCTCTCCCATCCCAAGGGGTTGCTTTGGCTTTCTTGCTTTCTCTATTTTCTGGCCTTTTGTTTTCTCCTAGATGCTCACTCAATTCTTTGTTCATTACAGGGAATGAACTTGCCACTCCCCTAGATGACTACCACACTATTTTTATTTAAAGCCTAAATAATACAGTTATTCATGGACCGCATAAGAACACACAGTGGTCCCATAATAAGACAGGAGCTAGCTACCCTTTGATAGTGTGGGCAGGACCCACAGTGGATCACCAGCTAGTCATGTACCACATGTGACCACCTTCCTTGAATGAATGAAAAGCTCTTTGGTAGAGCCAAGACATCATATACAGGGCATATAGACTTCTCACTAGCCAGACCCATTATGTGCACAAAAATGACCAATCCCTGTAGAGCATACATCAGGCTCCATTGAATCTCTCTATAAAACCCATCAAATAAGGGGCAACACAAATGGTCAGAGAAACACAAGAGTATTTCTCTTTTGGAGCCCGTTCATATTCTTGTGAATTCATTCTCAATTTTCCTCAGTGAACCTGTATTTTCCTTATTTTGCTGTGTTCACATTTCCTTATTCTTTATGGACATGAAACAATGAACCTAGAAGCTATAGGCTCAGGGTGGCTTTGGACACAACTGAGTTAGCATGACCCAAGCCTACCTAGTACCCATAAAAAGAGAGCCAAGAAAGTTTCCATTCTACTCAAAGATGCCATAAGGATAAGATTTCATTGCCTTATGATGAGTTAGATGTGCTACACTGGTGTGAGTGCACATTTTTGATGATTGCAGATCAATATGCCAAGCATATTTCTCAGATTATGTCCCCATATGTAAGTAACATGGGATCGTGTATGTTCATATTCAATATATTCAAAGGGATAAGCAAAATTGATAAAAATAAAAGCAAAATATAATTTAAATGTATGATTAACTTACTTTATTGAGATTATTTATCACAGTCTTCAATTCCAAATCCAGTTCCCTAACACGGATTTCAAGTTTTTGTTTCACTTTAACTTCTTTATTGTATTGCGCTTCTTTTTCTCTTAGCTGCTCCTTAATTTTTTCGTAAACCCAGTCAGCATTTTTTCTCTTCTCCTCTTCTTGTTTTAAAGCAAATCTGCAGTTTAAGAATGCTTATGTTTGCAATGCATTTTGTTAGAAAATGTTTGTTTTGCTGGGCTCGTCGAATGTTGATGTTTTTTAATCCTGACATGTCTTTGTTATAGAGGATTTTTAACCCTCCTCTGAAGCACTCTTACTTATTGTTGCTCCTTCTGATGTCACCCTCTACTTTCAAACATACACAAACTGAGTACAGCTTTTCAAGCAGTTGGTCATCCCAAGGCTAGTCAAGGAGAATATCAAGTTAGACATCAGCAAAGGCAGATAGTGTTGTCACCTTGGTCAAGTTGACTTACTTACCTTGACTACAGACTGAAACACACTTGCCACCTTACAATATTTAAAGAAATCAGAGAGGAACCTAAATCAGGTGTTCTATCTCTTATAGAACATCAAAAGTGGGGAGATGATTTGTGTCTTGGTATCCTTTTTGCAATGCAAAACTCATAATACATGACTCATTTGAACAACTTTATGTAGGTCATAAGGAAGAGGTGCTTTGGACCCAGTTAGTTGTCCTCTACAGCAAGCTTCCTGTCCAATGTAAATCACTGAGTATAGTTCTACACAAAAACAAAACACACACACACACACACACACACACACACACACACACATATCCAGGCAGCCTGATGTTCTTGTCATTAGGTAACATTTCACTCTTCTGGGTTCTTTGAAGGAGTTGAAGACTAGATAGGTATAATTATTGTTTTCCTTAATTAGGATAAAAGGTAAATTAGATGTAAAACTTTAGAATCACAAAATAGAGCATTTTCTCTAATTTTACCAAATACAAATAGACTAGGTATTGTAACTATAATTCTTACTTGATAACTGTTTTTGTTGTATATAATCTTACTATGTTAAAGTTAAAACCTTCCTTTTTATTTAGACAAAAGGGGGAATGCTGTGGAATATTCCTTTACACTGTGTGAATATATGTCATTGTGATTGATTTAATAAACAAACTGTTTGGCCAACAGCTGAACAAGATACAGTTAGGCAAGAAAGCCAAAGTAAGAATGATGGGATTGAGGAAGCATGGAGTAGAGGAGTTGCCAGCAGATGCAGAGGGAGCAGGAGATGAATGTGCCATATTAATAAAGGAACTGTCATGTGGCAGAGCATAACTAAGACATATGGGTTAATTTAAAATGTAAGAGCTAGTTAGTAACAAGCCTGAGCTATTGGCTGTTATGGGATTCCTGCCTGGGTCCCATCACCTTTTAAGCCCCCAAATAACACAGAGAGACTCTATGAGTTACAATGCTGTTGGCCAATGTTTAGGGCTTCTTATTGGCTAGCTCTATCTTAAGTATTAGCCCCTAACTACTAATATATGTATTTCTACAAGGTGCTATCTTACCGAGAATGCCAGACTCATGTGTCCTCTCCCCCCGGGATCACATGGCAACCCTACTACATTTCCTAGATTCCTCCTTCTCTCCTAGTCCTGACTATCTTGTTCCCTATTGGCCAAAAGTGTTTTATTCATTAACCAATAAAAGAGACATAAACCCAGAAGGATGTCGCCCATCAATTGGCATTTACAATTAATATAAGCATCAGCATGGTTATTTGGAAGCAGCTGCTGATATGGGAAAACACTGCCTACATAAATGTTAAAGCTTGCCAAGAAGCCAGCTCTGGAATGAACTGGCTTTCCACTCAGACACATGTCTCAGTCTGTCTTACTAATCCCTATCCTGGGTCAGGTCCCCCCCCCCCCCGGCACTGCGACAAAGAAAAGATGAGCAGCAAAGCAGCCCAGGGGTAAAGGCCCTGTGTCCTCAAGAAGAGATAAGGAGTAAACCATTCCCAATAGAGATTACTGTCATCGGAAAAAAAAATGCCAATGAAAGAAAGTAGCTAAGCTCCATAATAAATACTAGAAATCCCTTATGGGATGCTCTATGTCACAGCAACAGAGTGACTGATACAAATAAATAGCAAGTAGAAACACTAATTACTTAAGAAGTAAAACAACAGGATAGATAAAAAAGAAAAAAGACTATTGAGATCTACTCCAAGAACCATTTGTGCTGCCTATACCATCCCACCCCATATTTAGACTTCCCACATTCTCTTCCAGGGTCTAGCCTGATGAGTACCACCCAATACTTGTTTTCCACATCCTCTCAGATATAGCCTGGGTCCTATAGCCATTGCCCTATCCAAATCTGATGGCCCATGCCTGGTAGTAGAGATCTCTGGGTTTCCACAGGGTCCCCAATTCCATTACCTGACCTAGTTCCTCCACCTCCTTCTGTACTGCAGCTGACATACAGGCTTCCACCAAGACCCCCTCTATCATCATCTACCTACTATACCCTTGATGCAGCCTTCATAACCCCATTCCACATTCAGACTACCCATAGCCTCCTCCAAAGTCTATCCTGGTGAGTACCCCTCACCTCTTCACTCACACCTTTTCTACACTCTACTGGATTGAGCCTTGCTTTCAGAACAAGTGCACCAGCCTAGTCAGGCCTTGCCTGCTTTCACTGCAGAGGAGCTCTAGGCTTGTTCCAATATCCTCTATACCTATCTGCCATACAACAGGACTCTCCCAAGTCATGCCCAAGCTTCCCACTCAGACCTATCTACCTCCATACTTCCAGCTTGGAACAAGAAGTACATCCTGTGTACCAGGTCAGTCTCCTCTGCCCACCTGGCTGCCATTTCCAATCTCCAGACCCAACCTACCCCAACATCTTCTCTATCCACAACACCATTCCATCTATAGCAAACTTAAAACTAAGAAAGGAAGTCTATGTTCCCAGATCTCACTTAAGGAATACCAACAGTATGAAAGATCAAGCTGGTATCCTCTTTCCAAAATCTACCAGTTCTGTAGAAATGATTGCCCATGAGAATTACCTAGATGAACTCCAGGACACAGAAATCAAAAGAAAAATTATAAACCTCCTCAGAGAATTCAAGAATTTTAAAGAAAACACAAAGAATTAGTTCAATGAAATCAGGGAGAAAGAAAGAGTTTCAGGAGAATAAACATCTGAATGGTGCCCAAGAAAAATAAATAAATAAAAAGGCTTGTAGAAATGACAGGGCAATCCAGGACCTGAAAATGGAATTAAGTAAAGAAGTAGAAACACTGGAGAGAACTCAAGCTGAAATGAAAATGGGATTGAAAACTAGAAGACTCAAAGGAAAGCCTACAAATAGGATGAATCAAGCAGAAGACAGATATCAAGTCTGGAAGATAAAATAGAGGATTGAAATCAAATAGAAAACAAACATGAAAAAAATAAAAAAAACACAGAAAAGGAACACAACAGGAAATATGGGGCACCATAAAAAAAAACCCTTTGAATAATAGGCACAACTGAGGGACAAAAATCCCAAGTCAATGGAATAGACCATATCTTCAACAAGCTTGTAGAAGAAAATGTCCCCAAACTAAGAAAAGGCACACCCACATGAATATAAGAAGTTCTCAGAGCACAGAATAGACAAGACCAGAAAGAAAATCCCCACAGCATGCCATTGTTAAAGCATTAAAGAACAAATAAAGTGTATTGAAAGCTACAAGAGAAAAAAATGCAAGTCACACATAAATGAAATCCATCAGAATACAGCCAATTTCTTTATGAAAACCTCGAAAGCCAAAAGAGTCTAGAGCAATGCATACCAAGTCCTAAAAACCAAAGACAACAAACCGAGGCTAATATATTATCAAAACTATCTGCCATGAATAAAAGAGAAAGGAAAACTTTCCATAATATAAACAGCCTATAAAAATGTATGATGAGTGAGCAGCCCGCAGCCAATAGTGTTAAGGTTTTCTTTATTGAGATTCACCAAGCGAGAGGGAGGGAGCTGAAACCAGCGCCTGCCCGTAGCTGGGGGAGCAGAAGAGAGAAGGGCCAGGGTCTCCACGTGCAGCCCTTAAGAACCTTCTTTTACATCACCCCCAACTTCCCTTCACCCCGCCCTCACGGGCGTGTCCCGGTACACCTGGCACACCTGTCCGGGTTGCCTGGGGCTGGGCTAGGGTGTCTCCCTACAAATGTATATCCAACAAGTCAAACCAGAAGAAAACACAGGAAGCATTATTTCAGGCTGAAGAGGATGAACATATGAGAGACAATGTGGAAAGGAATACAAAGCCATAATTGCTAAAACAAAAAATACTGCTGCGAATACAAACAAACACCACCATCAAAAATCAACATGATCACAACTAATACACACACATTTCAATAATAACTTGAAATGTCAATGACCTCAATTCTCCAATCAAAAGACACAGACTGACTGAATGGATGAAGAAACAAAACTCACCTATCTGCTGCCTATAAGAAACATATCTTAGTTTTAAAGACAGCCATTGCCTTTAAAGATGGGGTAAAGGACTGAACCAAAGTATTCCAATCAAATGGGACTGGGAAACAAGCAGGCATCACTATCCTAATACCTGACAAAATAGACTTCAAATGAAACCAATAAGAAGAGTTGAAGAGTACAGAAAGTTTATCCAAATCAATGGAATAGATAAGCAAGAAGACATTACTATTCTAAACATATATGCACCAAACTCATGAAGTGCCCATTCTCAGAAAAAAAAAATCTACAACTGGAATTAAAGACGAGGATTAACATCAATCCATTAATAGTAGATGATTTCAATGTCCTACTTTCTCCAATACACATGTTACCTGAACAAAAAAAAAAGAAAAAAAACCCCCAGAAAAACATCAAAATTAATTGGCTTCATACATCAGAAGGACTTAACAGATATCTACAGCATATTCTATCCAAACACCAAAGAATTCTCACTCTCCCCAGCAGTACATGGAAGCTTTTATCAAACAGACTACAGACTACAAACTGGGACACAAAACAAATATTTACACATTCAAAAAGACTGAAATCACTACTTGTGTCCTATCTTTCCACAGTGCAATAATCTTAAAGTTGACAACAAAAATGGAAACAAAACCAAAACAAAACACCTCTAGTAAATACACAACC